GTCAAGTTCAAAAATGAAGACGTCTCGCGTCGCAGAATTGTTCCGTTTTGGACGTTCTTCTGTTCAAACATTACGTAAGTCTCGCAGAATTTCTTCGTTTTTGATCTTGCAGATAGATAGATAGATAGATAGATTGATAGCTTGATTGATTGATTGATTGATTGATTGATGGGATGAGATGAGATGAGATAAGATGAGATGAGATGAGATTAGATTAGATAGATTAGATAGATTAGATAGATTAGATAGATTAGAGAGATTAGAGAGATTAGAGAGATTAGAGAGATAAGATAGATTAGATATATTAGATAGATTAGGTAGATTAGAGAGATTAGAGAGATTAGAGAGATTAGAGAGATAAGATAGATTAGAGAGATAAGATAGAGAGTTAGATAGATAGATAGATAGATAGATAGATAGATAGATAGATAGATAGATAGATAAGAAAGATAAGAAAGAAAGAAAGATAGATAGATAGATAGATAGATAGATAAGATAGATAAGATAGATAAGATAGATAAGATAGATAGATCGATAGATCGATAGATCGATAGATCGATAGATCGATAGATCGATAGATAGATAGATAGATAGGTAGGTAGATAGATAGATAGATAGATAGATAGATAGATAGATCTCTCTGGGTGAGTTCCGATCCGCTTTGTCGCTGCATGTGGGGCATGACTTGGAGACGCAAGCAGACAACGTGAATGAATGGATCAGGGACTCAGTGCAGAAGCCGGCTGCCCCAACTCCTAGACCCCCATCTCGAGGGCATCATTCAAAGCCTTGGTGAAGAGCCTGCAGGCCTTTTGAATTATCCAGTGCACCTTGTGACTATTTCCAAGAGTTTTACCTGGCACTTTGGAAGCCACTGATTTGCGGGACATCTCTGGAATGAGTCGCAAGGATATTGCTTTGTGTGTGCAGCTGTGCTTTGATGATCCTGTGGCGACCCGCGGGCGTCCACGAACACAGGCTGTTGGCGGAGTCGTGCAGAAAATGGTTGTCTTCCAGGAGGCCCATGCAGATGGGGACAAGCATTTCCATGTTGCAGTGCAGTTGCAGAAGTCCCGCAGCTTTGCTCCTGCAAAGACAACCTTGCGGACACGGGACCACTTGGCAGCACACTTCTCAAGCAAGCATACGCAATTCTGGTCTGCAGTCCGTTATGGCTACATGCCAACATTAGCCAAGCCAGTAGTGGACTCAAGCCCTGTGTCATGGTGCCGCGACTCTGGGTTTGACTCCCCGGACTTGTTTGCAGAATCACAACGCCCATGGAACGCGATCCTGTGGAAATGCTGGAGGGAAGAGGTTAAAAAGGTTGCCCAGCAAGGTGACGGAGCGAAGAAAGCCAAGTTCAACAAGTTGGATTTGACAGCCTTGGTCCTTTCCCAGGAATTGACCACACCGGCGTCTGTATTGGCATACACGCAAAACCATGGGACGGAAGCCATGCAGCTCTTCGTCCATCAGCGACAGGAATATTTGAAGGACTATGTGGCTGAAGCGCTGGAATGGGGGCAAGCCACCAAGCAAGCTGAGGAGGAAAAGCAGACTGAGTGGTCGTTTGTGTGTGCGACAGCAGCTGGTGCTTGTCCACAAGGCACTACATGCACCTATGCTCGTGCAGCCCAGGGATTCTTTGATGCTAACGCAGAGACCTTGTCCCGGACAGGCCTTGCAGCTGCCTTGCGGAACATCCTCATCTCTGGCCCTTCCAAGACGACAAGGGCCCCTATGATTGTTGGGCCGACCAACTCTGGGAGATCCACCTTGGTCTTACCCTTCGGCACACTCTTTGGATTTGGGCGAGTGTTTCACAAGCCAGCCCTTGGATCGTCTTTCGCCCTTCGTAACATCTTGAAGGAGAAACGCTTTCTCTTCTGGGACGATTTCCGCCCTGCGACACAAATGAGCTGACTGTGAGCGACTGGAAGAACTTGGCTGCTTTTCACAACTTGCTGCCTTTCGAGCAGCGTCGGCTTTTGTCCTTCTTGTTGCCAGGCTGAGCAACCATTCAATGTGCCAATGCTTGAACCCAATTAAATGTGCATTTCACCTTAATGATCTTCTTGCTTCATGTGCAACGCGCCAAAAACCTGTGTGACAGCAGCTCACCGTTGTTTGGTCCATGCCGCACCCCGCAGTTGGTACTGTCTGGCATCCGTATGTCCTCATTACTTTTTTTTCTGTCTAAAATGGTGGTTGTGGTTGTTGTTGTTGTTGTTGCTGCTGCTGTTGTTGTTGTTGTTGCTGTTGCTGCTGCTGCTGCTGTTGTTGTTGTTGTTGTTGTTGTCGTTGTAGTTGTTGTTTTTGTTGTTGTTGTTGTGGTTGTTGTGGTTGTTGTTGTTGTTGCTGTTGCTGTTGTTGTTGTTGTTGTTGGTGTTGTTGTTGTTGTTGATGTTGTTGTTGTTGTTGCTGTTGTTGTTGTTGTTGTCGTCGTTGTGGTTGTCGTTGTGGTTGTGGTTGTGGCTGTGGTTGTGGTTGTGGTTGTGGTTGTTGCTGTTGTTGTTGGTGGTGGTGGTGGTGGTGTTCTTGTTCTTGTTCTTGTTGTTGTTGTTGTGGTTGTTGTTCTTGTTCTTGTTCTTGTTATTGTTCTTGTTCTTGTTATTGTTCTTGTTCTTGTTCTTGTTCTTGTTATTGTTCTTGTTCTTGTTCTTATTATTGTTCTTGCTATTGTTATTGTTCTTGTTCTTGTTCTCGTTCTTGTTGTTGTTCTTGTTCTTGTTCTTTGTTCTTGTTCTTGTTCTTGTTCTTGTTCTTGTTATTGTTCTTGTTCTTGTTATTGTTATTGTTCTTGTTATCGTTCTTGTTATTGTTCTTGTTGTTGTTCTTGTTTTTGTTCTTGTTCTTGTTATTGTTATTGTTCGTGTTATTGTTTGTGTTCTCGTTTTTCTTTTTCTTCTTGTTCTTGAAAGAAACTATTCCACAACCTAGTTGATACCCTGGAATAATTTCTTAAGGCATGGGTCATGTTATTCTTATTGTTCTTGTTCGGGTTCGGTTTGTTATTGTTGTTATTGTTCTTTTTCTTGTCGTGGTCCTTGTTCTTCTTGTTGTTGTTGTTGTTGTTGCTGTTGTTGTTGCTGGTGGTGATCACTGTGGTATCGGTGGTTTTTGTGGCGGTTCTTGTGGTGGCTCTGCTTCTAGCTGTGGCAGTGGTTCAATGACTTCATTGCGCCCTTCGACGATCCGAGTCTGCACCTCAAGACCTTCAGAGGCATTGCGGCACATGTCATCCACCAAATGTGTTTTTTCTTCGGGGTTCCTTCTCCTGACCATCCTGCAGCCCCTGAAACGCCAGGTTCTTGTCTTGAGTGACGCAGCCGGGCGGTGCAGGCAAAAAATTGTTATTGCTTTGCTTCTGATGTCTATCCACTAGAGAAGAGCTTCTTGCTTGGCTGACTGCTTCCCAACACTCAAGCCATGTCTCACAGCTGGCTCAAATCCTGCGTTGTCGGTCACCATGGCTTCCAAGGCTCAGACCATGCAGGCAGTGGCTGCCCGAATGAGGAAATTGGGCTTAGGCCCCACAGCTGTGCGGCAGGTGACGGCTCCTTTGCGGGTCAAAAAGGCCTTGAAAAAGTCCGCCAGCTTTCACCATGTCACTCCGCAAGAAGCTGCTTTAATGAAGCGCTTGCATGACGAGGTGGTGTCAAGAAGGTTGCTGCATCTGTTGGTCGCTCTAGCGACACAGTCTCCAAGCATGTCTTCAAAAAACATTTTCGCCAGACGACACAGGTGGGCCGCCCTGTGGTCATCAATGAGGCAAAATTTAAGCAGCTCCAGAAAGGGTACCAGAAAATGCTGCGAGAAGTCACTGGCAAAGAAGTGACGATCAACATGCTCAAACGCAAGCTGAAGCTCAAGTGCAGCAACAAGAGCATCAGCCGAGCCTTTTGGCAGCGTGGTATCCATTTCCGTCCCCTATACGAAAAGCCTGATCTGTCGACCTCTGATGTGAAGGCCCGGCTTGCTTGGACTGAAGCACACAAGCATTGGAGTTCTCAGCAGTGGAACCGCTATGTGCATGCCATTATCGACAACAAGACATTCCAGGTCTATCACACAGGACAGGCCAGGGCATATGCAGCTCGCAGAAAGCTGCGAGGGGCATACCGTCCAAGGGCCCGCATCTTCAAATCAGGCTACACAAAGCTGGCCAGTAAGCTTATCCAAAACACTGGGGCCAAATCGGCCACTGTCACTTGTGCCATCGGTAACGGCAAGGTTTTGCTGTGGCATGTGGCTGTTGGGAAGTGGAATGGTGCAGCTGCTGAGCGTATGTACTCTGGTCCTTTGCGCCAGGCATTGGAGAAAGAATACCCCAATGTTCGTGGATGCTGGCGGGTGATGGAGGATAACGATCCCACTGGCTACAAAAGCAGCAAAGGCATGGCAGCCAAAGCCGCAACTGGCATTGCCACCTTGGACTTGCCAAAGAGATCGACTGACTTGAACAGTCTAGATTTCAGTTTGTGGGCAGCAGTCAATAAGAAAATGAGGCAAACAGAAGCCAAATGGCCGAAGGTGCAGCGTGAAACTCGGCAGGCGTATTTGGCCAGGCTGCGCCGTACGGCTGTCAATTTGTCTGCTGACTACATTCGCAAGATTGTTGGGGCCATGTCAGGCAGAGTGCAGCAAGTTCTTGATGCTAGAGGTCACTTCTTTCCCGAGGGTGGCCTGGCTTCCTGAGCTTCAGCCGTATGTTTCACATCTTTCCAATGGCCTGGCCTCCTGAGGTTCGGCCTCATGTTTCACATGCTGTCTGAGTAGTGCAGGTCTCACCTGACTCCTGGTTCGCCTGAGGCGCCGTTTGATGGAAATGGTTCTGCGTGACACTATTGCCTGTAAAGTCCGCCATCGCCTTTGACAGGTGGCATGTCAGAAAGTCAGAAACGCTTCCTCCCTACAGCGCTTCCTCCCTACAGCGGGTCACTTCCTCGAGGTGGCTCCGGTTCTTAAGGTCTGTTTCTCGGGCAGTCACTGGAAATTTAGGGCATCAGCACACCTTCAAGTAGCTTCAGCACATCTTCAAGTAGTTTCATTGTATCCCAGTTGGGTTGCCCTGGTGCGTCGTTGCAGTTGGCCGCCACGCTGGCTGTCTTCGGCAATCTGCGGCTCCTCAGTGGATAGCATTGCATCAGCACACCTTCAAGTAGCTTCATTGTAGCTTCCCGGTTGGGTTGCCCTGGTGCGTCGTTGCAGTTGGCTGCCACGCTGGCTGTCTTCGGCAATCTGCGGGTCCTCAGTGGATAGCATTGCATCAGCACATCTTCAAGTAGCTTCATTGTAGCTTCCCGGTGGGGTTGCCCTGGTGCGTCGTTGCAGTTGGCCGCCACGCTGGCTGTCTTCGGCAATCCGCGGCTCCTCAGTGGATAGCATTGCATCAGCACATCTTCAAGTAGCTTCATTGTAGCTCTCATGTTGGGTTGCCCTGGTCCGTCGTTGCAGTTGGCCACGCTGTCTTCAGCAATCCGCAACTCCTCAGTCGATAGCTTCGCATTATAGTACCGGTCCTGTGCTTCATGTGCTGCTCATACGTGTGTGATACGTGCCCCGCGTCAAACGTCCACACTGCGCAAACCACTGCTCTGTTTCAGAGGTCGATGCTCTACGTGGGTCTCCCGTCCCATTTTTCCTATTATTATTCCCTACGGTAGTTCGCAACTTATTCCAAAGTGCACGAAAAACTGTGTTTTCACAGGTACATGTGCTGCATGTGTGTTTCGTCCAATTTTTTTTATTCCCTAATTCGCAACTTATTCCAAAATGCACGAAACATTGTGTTTTCACAGGTAAATGCTGCATGTGTCTTTCGTCCCATTTTTTCTATTCCCGAATTCACGACTAATCCGTTTGACGTGGCCCTGCCAATGGATTATGTCATTTGTGACGTGCTGCTTCTTTTTAAAAAGAAAAAGAATATCTTTTTTTCCCGAGAGCGCCTGCGAAGGGTTCTTCGTAAAAAAGCAGCCGTTATACTACATCTTCACACCTTCACACCTGCAGATCTAGATCTTCACACCTTCGCACCTGCAGATCTAGATCTTCACACCTTCACACCTGCAGATCTAGATCTTGACACCTTCACACCTGCAGATCTAGATCTTCACGCTCTCACATCTGCCGATCTACATCTTCACACCTTCACATCTGCTGATCTACATCTTCACATCTTCACATCTGCTGATCTAGATCTTCACACCTTCACACCTGCAGATCTAGATCTTCACACCTTCACACCTGCAGATCTAGATCTTCACACCCTCACATCTGCAGATCTAGATCTTCACACCCTCACAT